TCTTATTTCAAGAAATATTTTAACCCTTTACCCCCCATAGTGGTTTCAGAAGAGTCACTAATAAAACAACTATTGAAACAGAGTATTGTCCTCTACAATAGGTCAATAATATAAGCAGGTCGATCATGTGCGCTTCCCTGTGTGCACGACAAATTGGCAATTCCAGTTGCCATTAGGGGGTAGTGACATGACAACTTTTTTTTCTATCTTTTGCGAGTAGCTTGTTGCTTTGGCAAAAATACAATATATTTTTTTTTAATTCAACAATGCAAATCAAGAAAAAATCGAAACATAAAAAGCTTTTCGTTTTTTCTTCACAACACATGTGCTTCTGAAACAACTTTCTATATGTACATAAAATCTGTTTTTCTCGAAGTAATTAAATCATCAAGCAAAGGATACAATTATTGATTCATTCTTCTTCAACTTCAAATATGATAAGATTTTAAAGAATAAGGGTGTAGGTATGCGTGTGATTTGAGTCTCTTCTTGTCCGAAACCGATATCCACATCCACCTACATCTACACCAAACAATTATATAACAGCAAATAATGCTCGTATTTATAAATAACCACAATCTATTTACTTATCTATCCGTATATATTAACAAGTATTGGGTTTAGACGAAAATTTCTAAATCTGTTTTTGCATGTCATTACCCCCAAATGGCAATCCCAGTTGCCATTTTATGTCATACAATCTCTTGTTCAGCTGAGTCATGTAAAAATTTATAAACGCATTTTAATCAATAGCAGCAACTTTCGTTGATATTTATTGCACAGCACGTTGTCAAGATAAGCATTTCTCGTGGGTACAAAAAGCAATCTAAAAAGAAGAGGTCCCGTTGTCTAATTAATCGTATGTTCGACTCTTTTGTAACTCGTATATCTTAGAGACAGAGCAACAACACAAAATATTTTTTTTCTAACCAATCGGTAGCTTAGGAAACCTTCTATACACGATGTGTAAAGAGTTTTCTGATATCACGCATTCTGAATTTTTTTCAATGTTTCTAAAAATGGCAATTTCAGTTGCCAATGGGGGGTAAAGGGTTAATAGCAACTCGTAAGGGTCTAAAATTGTTAGTTAATTGAACGAATCATGTTTCTTTTACCGGTTTTTTTTTGTAACTTAACACTGATAAGGAATTTCTGTATAAAACAAATAAATGCGCTAGCAGAACAATTGTTGCCCATACGTCTGCTATTCTCATTGTTATAAAAAGATCAGTTGAAGAATGAAACGAACTGTGATAGACAGAAATGAAAAGAAAAAGAAAAAAAAATCAGTAAAAAGAAACCTAATTCAAACATTCATTGTCATCTTAACAGTTTTTCAACACATTCGGCTAAGGTATTTAAAAAATTCTCTTCTCTTCTACAAATAGAATTTTATATATTAAATCATTACTGAATAAAAAATATAGCAGTAGTTCTAACAAATACAAAAAGGCGATCAAATTGACCAACGTTTGGACGATAGGAATTAGACGATAGAAAGCAAAAACAAAATTTCAAGTGATATAATTGAATAGAATTCTATTAAAAACTTTCAAATCAGCTGTTCATTAACGATTAGAAATAATTCGACATCACCTTTTTTTTCTTTTTTAGGTATGTACAATATTTTTATTTCATTATAATTGTACATTATCAATGAATTAATTTAGAAAAAAAAAGAAATAAAATTTGTAGAGTTTCGAAACATATGTTTATCAGATTATACTTTTTATAAATATATCCGAAGGTTAACTTTTTATTGTGTCAAAATAAACATTTTTTTTTGCAGATTTTATTTTTCATTCCTTAAAAAATTCTTGTTACTAACAAACATTCTACTATATTATTTAACAGAACTGAAAAAACAAACCTTTTATGATTCATCTTTTGATCAATGTAAGGATGTGCTTCAAGTATTTTTTCTTTTATTGTGTTCTCGAGCAACATGTTTTATAAATATCATCAGACAACCATTCAAGCTCTAACACCTACCATTATATTGCTTCGAAATATCTCAATGACAGCCTTGTTCAATAATAAGTATCTTGTAATTATACAGTTAATTTTAGTGTTGAATCCACTACACTAAGAACTATTTACTAGATATAAGAAGATCTGTCACATTCAAAAGAATAGATTATTACTATAATTGCAAAGCATACCTTTCTTCTCATTAGTTTAGTTGTTTACGTTCAACAATAATACATTAGAAATAAAATCCAAGATAGATTGCAATATATATTTATATTCTAGGTCTGCCATTAACTTCGATAAATTAAGATTTTACGTGTATTTGACAGTTAGTTATGAATGAATGCTAGTTTAATTCTAATGAACAGAAATTTTATTCTACATACTGAACTTATTTATCCTAGTGATTTTTACTTTTCTATATTTAACAATACTTGTGTTCTTTCAATTAGAATCAATAGAACCACCATATAATTTTTTTTTTAAATAATAATTAACATATTTATCCATGATAATAGATGTATCATTGAAGTCATAGCGTATTACAGACATCTATGGCTTAGAAACTAATAAAGTTGTGAAAAGAAAAAGAGTTTTTAGTCTTTTGAGATGACAAAGGCACGAAAAAAAAACTTCTATAAACAGTTTTAAATGCTAAATCTGTATTTGAATTGTGTTGTTCAAGTGCGTTGGAATGTGATAGTATCAGTATACTAATCACTAACGACTGCACATCAATACTGATATTTATTGACTACAATTCATATAGAAAATGAAACAGATTACGAGGAAACCTTTTCAGGTGCCCTCTCCGATTTCAATGTTTTCTTGCTTATAGATACTGTTCAGGGCTCTAGTAAAAACCCTTAGACGATTTGGATTCTTATCACTTTCTTCAAAAATTATGAACATACTAATTTTGTCCCTATAATGCATAACATACAATGTAAACCATCAATAGTACTGTGATAAAACATAAAATATCTCTGCATCTATTCAACCAGGGGAGCTGATTTTTTGGTTATTGATTGAAGTTTATTCGAAGTTTTTTTTATACGGATAAGATAAGCCAATACTAACTGTTAAGCATTATTCTAGGTATTATAGAAGCAATTGTATCTATTATCAAATTAAGAAAATACATATTTAGCGTTTTATAGATGATATGACGTTATCAACTAAGAAAAAGATAAGAACACGTCACAACAAACTTTATGAATGATTCTATATTGATTTAAATCGAGCAAATTTTTAAAACTAGTAGTCAGTTTTAGTGCTGAACTTCATGTCCCATAAGTAAAACAAACAATGCCAATCCAATGGACATTAAAACACCAACTTGCTTCCAGAAACAAGTCTTTGATGTTTGAAAATATCGAAATTTTGTAACCGTTGACTTTAAACCAGCTAGTTTTGAAAATTTACTACATTTACACCAATAGAGAATCATTCATAAGGTTCATTTTGGCTTGTCATTATCTTTCCCTTAAATGATAACATAATATCGTCTATAAAACGCTAAAAATGTAGTTTTCATATTTCATAACTAGTAAAATTGCTTTCATAATAGCAACAACAATGCTTTACAGTTAGTATTGGCTTACCTTATTCGTATGACGAAAAACTTTGAATAAACTTCTACCAATAATAGAAAAACAATAGCCCATTGGGATGAACTAATGACAAGATATTTCATTTTTTATCGTAGTACTATTTATGGTTCACACTCTATGTTATGCACTGACTATAGGAACAGAATTAGAATGTTTATAACTTTTGATGGAAGTGATAAGAATTAAGCCTAATCCTTTAAGGGTTTTTATTAGAACACTGAACAGTATCTATAAGCAAAAACTCATTGCAATCGAAGGAGGACACCTGAAAAGATTCCGTCGTTAGTAGTTTCTCGTATAATTTCCTTGGAAGACATTTCATTTAATGTGACAGTCTGTTGACAACGAAGAGAGTTCTCTCATTGCTATCTCATATAAAAGACGTTCTATTTTGCCTGTAACACTATCTCCGTTGTTTAGCTTTAGCTCTCTCTCTCTCTCTCTTCGTCTGCTGTCATTTTCTTTACACATTTTTCCATTTTCTTTTACTTTCGTCAGCATCATTGAAAAATGAAATTGAATGTTCTTGACATCTTTTCTTTCCATCATCGTGCTTCATATATCTTATTACCCGATTAGAAAGAAGAACAAAAAAAACATATTCAACATCTTCTTCTTTCGTCTCTGTAAAACATAAACATCCCTCATTGTCGAATTAAAAATTATTATTATTTATGAAGTTTCATGGGCTCACAGAATAAAGTTAAGGATGTAACATCCTAAATCTAAATAACAAAGTCGACGTCTCAGTATTTTACTGCCGATCATTGTCATTATCCTTAGTATTTCATTGGCTTCAATTTCGGTGATGTAAATATCAGTATTTCAGTGTTAAGACTAACATTGCATTTATATTGATCAATAAGATAATTTGATGTGAAACGACTTTTATTAGATATAGAGAAAGAGATTCTATTAAAGTAGTTGGATAATATAATTTATGTCAATATCTTCAGGAGTAGATATGACATCATACAAAATATTTTTTTACTATAGAAAAAAGTGTATTTGTTTCGAAAAATAAAAACTACCAAACTTAAACGGAATACATTTTTAGATTTTATTCAAATAACTTATAATTCTAGCTCGAGATTTCTACGATTAAAAAAACTCAATATTATCAAAAAATGATAACAAACAAACAAAAAATTCTAAGAATTCATTCAAAAATGTGTATTAATACGTAGAACTTTTTATTTATTTTGTCATTGAATATTGTTGTCTTTTAAGATGATAATGAGTATTACTTATCGAAATGTCGAACTACAATTTATAAGATATTTACATAAAATCTAAAAATATATTTCATTGTATTTATTAATAAGAAAATTTATTTTTTAAAGAAATTTTTATAAATTACAGAACTGAGTACATAGTTGTCAAGATTAAATTTTCATGTATATTTATTTTTCAGACATGTGTCTACGGTATTTATCAATGCAACATTGCACACGTCGTTATACATTATATTTTTGTCTTGTACTAACGTTATTCTTATCGATCAATTTTTTTCTTTTATTAGCTTTTACAAAACCTCAAAATCGAAATTTGCATATCTCCTTAAGTAATACAACGAATATTACTGATCGAATAGTTTTATTTGTTCGTACATCACATAATTGTCAATCACGTTTAAATTATCTTCTTAAAAGTTGGATATCACCGAATGTATTACAACAATCAAATTTATATTTAATTACAGATGGTATAACATCTACGACGAATTTAACACTATTAAATTCTTTTCGCAATGTAATTCCAACGCATTGTCCAACAACACATGGCCGTATTGATTTATGTTGTAAAACAGCAAACGAATTTAAATTATTTTATAGTTTAATTAAAACAAAATCAAATTTAGAATGGTTATGTCGTTTTGATGATGATCATTATGTTAATCTTGGTAATTTATATAAATATTTATCTCAAAAAAATTCTTCAAAACCATATTATATTGGTCGAAAAAGTATTAATGGTGTTTTAAAAGTTAATAATAGTAGTCAAACATTTTCATTTGCAACATATGGTGCTGGTGTATGTTTTTCTCGTGCATTACTCGAACAACTTCGTCGTCATGTTCATACAAAAATTTTGCCACGTAATTGTATGAAACGTGGACTATCTGATGATGGATATATAGGTTATTTAATTGAATTTATTCTCAATGTATCATTAACAGTAACCAATGATCTATTTCATTCACATTTAGAAGAACTTGATAAATCATTTCGAAATTTTACTATGGATGATTTATTTCATGCAATTACATTGGGTTTTGCATGGGATCGATATAATTTAGATTGGTTACCAATAATTCATCAATTAATTAACTTAATTAATCAAGGTCAATATGAAGTAGCAAATCGTTTGTGGTTCGTTTTAAGAAATTATGAAAAAGAACATCCTGAAAATTTAAAAGATAAATATGATGAATCATGTATATCATATCAACGATCACGAAATCAATCAATTGAATTGCAAATGAAAAAAAATAAAAAAGTTCCTCGACATTTGAGAAAACATACTAAAAGAAGTTAAAATTATTTTGTATTCTGTCAACACAAATGTAGTACATTCATGATTTTATATTGATGACAGCTTATTTATTATTTAGAACGATTTATTATAAATAGATTAGTTCGTTATGTATTATTATTTTGTTTGAATAAAAGAAAAAAAGGGAAATGTTGATAATAGTCAGCAAATCATTGTGACACATTTTTTTTTAATGTAAAATTGAGAAGTATTACAAAAATATCAAGTTTATATGTTTGTACAAGTTGCCGATCGAAATCGATCTCTTAGGCGATAATTGCTTTTAGAGTGAAAAGTTCATTTTCATAGTACGAAGTCTTAATAAGAAGAAAACATCTAATGATCGGAAGTTCACATTTTATTGAATAAGACGTTTTATTTTTTTTTTTTATTTTTATAAATTTCTATGTTTTTAACTATGATAGAATATTTATTTGCCTTTCTTATTTTTTGAATGACAAAAGAAAGACTCAATATGTAGAATTAATCGGTTATATTTTATGCCAAACTTATCAATCAACGATTATTTGTTATAGACAATTCTGTTGATAGCTTCTGATCTTTATGTCAAGTAGGTTTCCAAACTTGTAGAAAATATTGTAGATGATGATTTTTTTTTTTGCTTTATTAAATGATCAAAATAACATTTTTCTTCAATAAGATAATTGAAAATAGGCGTAATACAATTTTGCAAATGAATAAACTTTTTATTATCATTCACTACTACTAACAATTTCGTTAGTTTTAATATTTATTGTATTCAACATGGTAAAAAAAAAAAAACTTGATTTTCTATCGTGTTTTTCATTTTCGTCATTTATTGATTTTCCATACTAATATAAGAACATGTTACACATATAGTCTTTATTGCGCATTTTTCATAAATGGTAAAAGGTCAGAAAATAATTTATCTATATTATATTCATTTCACCTTATTCATTATATGTATTATATTATATTTCTGAGACTACTTTTGTCCTCTTTTAATTAAAATATACAACTATTACATTGTAGTGGATTAATAAACAAAGAATAGTTGATCTTCTTAGCTTTAATACTCTAGCAAAAAAAAAAATAATTGTAAAAGCAATAGTATATGATATCTTCTTTTTTTTCGATTACATTTTGTAAATTAGTTTGCTTGTCAATTTTCAAGTTGATACTTTTTATTTTATATCAATGATTACAAATCGGTTATATTATATTGATATTTTTCTTTTTTGATGTATTTATATTTATTGAACACAATGTCGTCATTTGATTTCTATCACACCCGATCAAAAGAGGATGTACATTAATCTTTATTTCTAATGTTGATCGTTGATCGTGAAAAAAAAAATAAAAGAAAAATAAGAGATGTTAAAGGTGATTAAAAAACTATTTATATCAATTTGTAATATATTACAAAAGAAAGACGAATCTCGAAAACCAAATTGATAAATTTCCTAGAATTAACATAATGGACAACATGTTATAATTGAAGATTTTTTTTTGCTGTCTATCTTAATGGATAAAATGTATATAAAAAAATATCGATCTACTCTTCTTAATTATTTTCATGCGTACAACCTTTTGCTAATCGTGATGTATTCACAATTATACGCCTCAGGGATTGCTAGCACTTCCGAAAAACATATATGTATATCATTAAAAAAGGTTTTTATCGAATCAACATACATATATCACTTCAATAGACTCATGAGGATCATGTCCTTAATTAAGTATGCATGTCATCATCGTTAAATTTCTATCTTAATTAACCATTTCTAAAATACTTCTACGTCAATTTCTTATTATAGATATTCAACTATCAGGAAAAAAATAAAAAAACAGCTATCACGTTTTAAAGTCATACATTCTAATCTTTCTCAATTTTTATTAAGTTATAAAAACAGAAGAGAAATCGATTTGACACGTGTCACAGTTATATGCTTTCATAAACACATCTTGTTTTCATTTCAGAGAAGATATCATTATCTCTCAGCATTACGGCTGTCATTGTTATTTTTAGGTTTTTGAAAAGGGCAATTGCACGTCTGGCATGTGCTCATGATATACAATAAGCATGTATTGCATATCAAAATTCATCTCTTCATCGTTTATCTTGTTTGATTAGGTTTTACTATCTTGTCACTCCTGGAAAACGTTTATATTGATCATTTTTTCGGTATCTTTTTTTTTATGGCCAAAATGAGAACCTTGAATACTATAAAACAATATATACACACACACATACATTTGAGATGTTCAATTTGTCAGCAGGCGATGTTTAAGTGCTAGTTTGGCACGATTCATTCTCATGGGATTTTTTCTCACTATTGCTGCAACAGTTGTTAATAATTGTTTTATCGCATCCTTTTTCCTTTGATTTTCTAATCAAACTTGTAAAATAGTTTACAATGACATTGAGCTAAACTTCTTTTTTTTTTGTTTTTTATTTCTCAATGCTTTTATCATTTATTTGTGTTCAATGTTATCAATTTTATGAGATTAGAATCTACCGATGAGAGAGAGAGAAACAAAGAACTAGAGAGAGAGCTACAAAAAAATGTCGCTTCCGAGAACGTGACAGGTGAGATTGACAACTAGGCTGTGTTTCTTTCTTTTCTGGATTATCACTTGAACAATTACAAACGATGAAAAACGACATGTCTACTCCTGACATCGCTCATTGATGCACATACATCTTGAATATCACCCGACGACAATCATATGAATGAGGGAGTGAAATAAAGAAAGATGAGAAGGATTGATTTTTCTCTTTTTTTTTTGCGTTGTTTCAGCATAGTTCTGTGCGGTGCAAAAGGAAGATATGAAGCGGAATTATGTGATTCTTGAAATGAAATTACGAGTTGGTTAAGAGCTTCTTCTTCTGCTTCTTCTTCTTCTTCTTCGTTTCCATCGTCGACGAATCGACGAGAAAGGATACATGCTCGCTCGGTCTTATCAACAACAGCGTGAATGAGCAAATCGTGTGACATTCGCTCATCTATCTTTATCAATACTCCAGAGTAAGAGAGAAAGAGAGATAGAAAGAGTGAGTGCGCTGATTTTACAGAATGGATATACAAAGTGCCATAAAAAATCCGGTCGAAGGTTTCTTCGATAGCTACAGTGAAAATGAATCATGAATACATGTGTATATGTGTGCATGATCGTTAGTAGATGAAAAGCATTGAAAGGAAGATGTATGCGTGACAAGGCAATACAGTGTAAGAATCTAACCAGAAGAAAATCTTATATGCTTAAAGCACACAGCTTCTTTTTTCTGGTGCTTTTTTAATGAGAAGAGAATAGAATGTTAGAGAACAAGGGATCATTGTAATCGAGCAAATAGCAGCAGATTAATGTGAAAATTCAAGTGCTGCATAATCAGATGATACTATCTTGCTGTCATTCGATTGCATCGTATTGTCTGCCGTCAATCTTATGATATTGATCACTAGCGACTTAGGCTACTATTCTGTAAATTTAGAACATTTACCCACTCATATACATAGAGAAAAAAGCAGATTTATGTTCTCGAGCAATAGTTGAGAGTGGTGACAGTGGCGATAGCGATGGCGCATCTAATTCGATTTAGAAAATGCGCCGACGCATGTGTGTGTGTATGTTCTCGTTTGCTCTCGCCTCTAATCCGTTGTGCTGAGAGGGTGAATCTCATCTTTTCGCTTAGAAAACAACGACGATTTCTAATCTTTTTCTCGAACGATGACGAGCGAACGAGAAAGACAAGTAGTTCAACGAGTGAGAGGAAAAGAGCTGGTGTAATTGTTTAAGTTCATCTACTGAATTAGATTTTTGGTAAAAAAGAAAAAGAAGAAGAAGAAGAAGAACAGAATGGCTACAAATACATACTAAAGGGAAGAGAGAAAAACACGCACATCACTTTTTAGCAGCCGGATGAGAGAAGAGGTCGACTCTCCAATCTCGTTCGTTGTTGTTGGTCTCTACTCGAGCTTTAGCACATGCGCTCGACAACAATAACTCTGTAGCAATGATCAAGTGAGCATTCTCATCATCACCATTCTGTTTTTCATCATCTTATAAACGATTAAATCACACAATCATCATCATCAGCTTAGCAAACATACATTCCAACACAGTTTCTACAGTGTGAGTTAAAGTTAGCTAGAAAGACACCTCTTGCTTGTCTCGTTTGAAGATTGATGCATTCTGTCTTTTCCATTGGATAGATCAATCTATTATAGATTCCCTGGAGACATGATCTCCAATAGTGATTCTTAAAATCTCTAAGCGTGATGTCACATGGCTATCGCGCACGTCTTATTTGTTTCTGATCCGTTTGTTTGATTATAAATTTGGCATCAGAACGAAGAATATCAATGGTAAAGGCCGGCCACATTTCTCTATAATGATTTTGTCTGCCCAAAATAGAAAAGGCGGGACAAGAAAAAAAAAAGATATAAATGCGACATTCGCCGGAAAATCAATTACTAACTCTGGCAGACTGCACATAGCGTTGGCTGAAAATGGAGAATGGTTATCATGTCATTTTTTTTACTCTTGTTATTGTTGCTGTTTTCATCAATTTGAACAAGAATCGAGATTAGATACTTCAGGAAAGAAAAAGAATAGATTGAACAACAAAAAACAATGAACTTAAGATATAAAAAAGAACTTAAAAAGACTTCGAGAACAAACAACAGGAAATCATTACATATCGTATATGATTAAACGGAAAGAGATGCACATTGAATGATGTACATTTGTGTTTTATGACCTTAAAGAGAATGGATAAAAGAAGGTTTTGATATAGATGAAAGAGAAAACATTTTAAATTTGGTAACAAGGACTATTATCGTTTAGTTCAGAAGAAAGAGAAAGATCTTTAATTGAAAAGCTATCAAATTTTGTTTTACTCTTTTTTTTCTCTCCCACTCTTCTCTCCTTCTCTCTTTCTTTGAATATATAGATAGGCATATATATATGTCGACTCTTTTTCTTGTCGTCGCGCTCGTTTGACTTTGTCGACAAATTGATTGCGATCGCTGTTGAGACTTCTTCTCTCCATTTCGTTCTTTCTCTCTCTGTCTCTGTCTCTGTCTCCTTCTCCCTCTCCCTCTCCCTGGCTCTCACTTGCTACTACTAGCTGTTGTCAGTCGTTCCGTTCAGTCCCACGTTATACCACACACTTTGGACAAAATTAAGTTTCGGAGTTACCCCCTCCAACTAGACCACTTAGTTTTTCCGTAGTCTATAAGCGCGACAACTAATGCTGACTGACACATACATTACTCGTCTACGATGAAGATTCTTGGCGGCTATGCTATACTACGTGCTTTTCTTATTTTTCCATTCCAAAGTCGATGTTTTAGTCTATATCTCTTTTTTTCTCCTTTTCTCTCTATATCTTTATGAAGCATTCAATGAGACATTGAAAAGCAAGAGATTGACCATTAGAAATGATTAAGAGTTAGAGTATTTATAAGTACATAAGGTAAGTGAACCAAAACAAAATGAATTAGACGATAATCATTGTGATTTCTGATTAATACGAGCCAAAATAAACATTATTAAAATATCGATAAATATGTGTGAGTATGAATGTTTGCATATGTGCACGTATATCAACAAAACTTATAGTAATCAGGTATTTTTCTTTTCTATTCTTTTTTCTTTCTTTTCTTTATTAATTCGATCTTAGTCATGACGCACACGCTTCTGACAGATCATCAGAGATCTAAGAAGACAGAAAGCATCACAATTAATTTTCCACTATTTTACGCTTTTTTCTTTCACCTGTGACATTCCAATGAAATGTGAATGTGCAACAAGTCTCATCGTCGAGGCTTCTCTTAAATATTGCTACGACTGCTTCTCATAGTAGACCTGAGAATGGAAAAAAAAATGACAAAACAACAAGCAGTTGTAGTAAAAAAAGAAATGCATACGCATACAAGGCGTCTTAACTACACACACGGCGTAACGGTGTGCGAACAAATTAGCTAAGAGGAGAAATGGGTAGAGAAAGAGAGAGAGAGAGAGAGAAAGAGAAAATGCACAAAAGAGTAAGAAAAAATGTAAGTTCTCTATTCAATATAGGAATATATATATATATAATATAAATATATATTTCTCCTCCTATTTTGTTCTTACGCCATCGAAAGATGACATGAGACAGCTACTTTCGAATCCACTATATAACTATATATGGAAAGTGTTAAGAATTTATTTGTATATTGATAAACAATTTGGTTATATTTTTAGAATATTTTTTTATCGGTTTAGAATCATGCTAGGATTTCATAGTGTGCAAATAAAATCAACAGAAGTAAAAGAAAAAAAACACACAAATCTGATTGAATAGCACACATATGCATTACTACTCATTTGTAATTAGCTTTAGTCAAAGGATTAGTGTCGAACACCAAGATTTTCTTCCTCTCTTTCTCTCTGTCTTCTTTTTTTCTTGTTTTTCTTTCTATTCAGAAAAAAACTCATTATTTGATTTTTTTTTCTCTAAATACTCAGGAATGTGAATTTACGTTTTTCAAAAAAAAAAGAACAGAAGAATAAGTATAAAAATCTCTTTTCCTTTTTTTATTTTACTTAATATTGATTTATTTTCATTGGCGTCGATTTATGTTATTTGAACCCAGAGGAAAAGCATCAGTGGCGTGAGTAGAAGAAATTGTAATTAATAAATTCATTAGATTGAAAACTTGATATTAGAAAAATAGAAAAGAAACTAGTAATATATCCGGAAGTGGTATAGAACTATGTAAAAAAGAAAATATTAGAAATGTCTTCATTAGAAAATATTATATTTTTCAAGATAACTTGACTTGCTTCATCTGTCTGAAGTATTTTTGTGATAAAAAGATTAAAAGCCACAGTAGGGGTTTCTTATTTTTTTTTTCTTTCTTTTGCCTATTCTTCTAGTAATAAGGTTACACATGTCCATTTTACTTGTATTTTTCCATTATTTTTTTTTTTTTATTGTTATAGTTGGCGGCGGAATGTTGCCATTGTCACCAGCTCGCAGAAGACAACAAGGTGACTTAGAATGGCCATGATTCTCAATTTTGTGTTACTTTTATTACCATCAAAATTTGCATGTCGTCCATTGTCGATCTAGCTAAAACTATAATCAGTGATCAAAGCGCCGCACTTGTGCATGCGCTATTGACGAACTCTAGTCGAACAAATTTTATTCGACCAATATCATCATCATCATATAATACAAACTGGAGTATATCACATATACCTGGTCCACCATCATCATTTCTAACGCCTTTTTTCTCATCGTCCTCATCATCAACGACAACAACAACAGCAACAGTTGCTTCAACAGATAATAGATATTATCCATTTTGGTTATTAGTCATTGTCGCTATATTTGGTAGTGTAACATCCGTATTAACTGTTTTGGGAAATATTCTTGTTATGCTTGCATTTTTTCTTGATCGACAAATTCGACAACCGACTAATTACTTTATACTTTCATTATCTGTTAGTGACTTTCTTATCGGACTTTTATCTATGCCTATATTAACAATATACATCTATGCTAAAGAATGGCCATTGAATGCTATTATATGTGACATATGGCTTTCACTTGATTATACTGTTTGTCTTACATCAATTTATACGGTGCTGTTCATTACAATCGATCGTTTTTGTTCGGTTAAAATGCCAGCAAAGTATCGAAAATGGCGTACTCGTAGAAAAATTAATATTATGATTGCTGCGACATGGGCAGGTAAGAGAAAAAAAGCAAAGAGAATATATATCAATGTTGTTATTCTTTTTTTGTTTTGTTTGATTTTCAATTAATCAATTCAATTTTTGTAGTTCCTACTCTCATCTTTTTTACATCTACAATGGTTTATCCACGTGTAAGAAGTATTTCAAATATGCAAAATGGCGTTTGTATGTATTGAAATTTTCTATAAAAGTTTCTTTTTTTTTATTTTTGCTTTTTATTTAATTAATTTTTCTTTAAAAGGTGATGTACAATGGAATAAAAATCATGTTTTTAATTTATGTTTAACCATTGGATATTTTTGGACAACATTATTTGTCATGATAATTCTATATATTTTTATATATGGTATTAAATAATAATTCTATTTATTTTTCTTATTGTAAATTAAATTATTCTTTCTTTCTTTTTTTTTTTTGCTCAAAGGTGTTGCAAGTAATCTCGAACGAAAATCAAGAGAAAATGCACGTAAAATGTCATCACTCGTCGGTATGGCTGGTAAGAAACTTAACACAAGGATACATTTCTCAATGGTTCTTTTTTTATCTAGGTAATGCAATGACACAAATTGGTGTTGGTATTGGTGGAAATAAATCACCTACAAAACCTGTTATTGATAAACGAAATCATACAAGTCGTAAAATTGGTTCAACAACAGTTGATGATTTTGATGATGAAGATCCACAAAATTTACTTGCACAAAGCGTAATGAATACTCAAAATAGTAGTAATTCATCTGAACAAAGACGTATTGGTGGTGTTGATGATGATAATTCAAATTCATTTGAATCACATTCGGATTTTGATTTAACAAATATTAATGACAACAAAACACATACATCAAATAATATACATGAAAAAACTTCACGACAAAAAAATCGTCGTGGTATGAGTGTTAATTGGGGTAATAGTCCAACAACACCAATAAATACATCATCAACAAGAACAAATACCAATCGACGTTCTCGTCCAAATCGTGGACATGTTAATCAAAAACATAGTTCGAATGTAAAATTTTTTGCTTCATCTATGGCACATTCACTTTATAGAAATCCAATACGTTTAAGTGGTTTATCATCAACATCAAAAACAAAAGGAACTAATTCAATGACAAATAAAAATTTACTACAAACTACTTCAAATCAACAACAAATACCTATAACATTAACACCAATACCATCGGAACCTGAACTTTTAACATGTCGAGTTTATCCACCACCACAACCACGACCAGAATCATTAGCAATTATGTCTGAAGAATTATTTCATCAAAGACTTAAAGCTCGTCAATCACCATTAGTAATTGAATCAGCTATAAAATCATCATTAAATGTTAATAATAAATTATCAACTAATTTTCCCTCCACATCATCATTTCTTTTGGATAAACATTGTATTGAGGATGTTACTTATTCAACAACAAATCAAATTTTATCAACAAATTCTGATCAAACAATAACAAATCAAATAACACCACCACCATCACCAGAAGAACAACAAAAAAAATTACATGAAACTAAAGATAATCCTATTGAATTATCAACAGACGAACAACAACAAGAACAACAAGAACAACAAGAACAACAGGAACAACAACAAATATCGTCATCAATAAAAGCAATTATTAATAGTAGTGGAGATTCATCCGATGAAAGTTGGCGTTTACTTAATAGCAATAGTAGTCTTGATGAACATATACCTTATATTGATGAAACTGATTTTGAAGATTTAGGTAAAGAATATCTTTTTGTTTCTTTTTTTTCTTTTGTTGAGAAAAATTAGTTTTTTAATAGTAAAAGACTTTTACATAATATGAAATTTTCTTTTTTGTTTTTAATAAAATAGAGTATCGACAAAAGTTACATAGAATTGAATTGAGTGAGAATAATTATATATATATATGTATATATATAAACATTTCTTTTTTTCTGTTCTGATTAACTATACTAAGCCATAAATCCTTCAAGAAAATCTTTTCATCCTTGTTTTTCTATTGACGAAAACAAAAATTCATATATACATATATAATTTAATTTAATTCCTTTATTTAGGTTATATACTACATCGTCGTCGTGTTCCGCCAATTGATTCAAATGAACCCATTCATGAAGAAACTATTGTATATAAATCACCTTTTTATATTAAAAATAAACATCGTTCAAAATCATCTATTATTTCACTTAATAATACAACAAATGATAATGGTGTAAATAGAAAAATTTATGAAATATATGGTAATCATCAAGATGCACATAAAGCTATATTAGAATCACCAATATTTGATAATGTTGAATTAATAACATATGCATGTACAAAATCAAATCCATCACCAATACGTCATTGTAGTTTACGTAATGTTCCACGTGAAGCTTTACTTAAAACAATGTCACAACCAACATCCATACCACCATATATTAATAATTCTAATGATAAACATACAACATCATCAATTATATTTGTATCAAAAGCTAAAACATCAACATCACCACCAATATCATCATTGAAACAAGTACAACAAATAACAACAACATCATCATCAATACAAAATGCTGATGTTGAAAGAGCCTTAATTGATTTTTATCAATGTAGTCAAATAAATGATATAGATGATTGTTTAACATTTAATAATGATAATAGTGAAAGTGAAGATCTTGAATATTCATTATCAAATTATAATGAAATATGTGAAGAAACATCATCATTACTTCGTCTTAATGAACAACATTCATCAGCATTTATTGATGATGAATCTTGTACAGATGATTATTCTACTAAAACTAAACAAATACAATCAAGACGTTATACATATACACAAAATAATAATCATTTTATGAAAATGATGATATTAAATAAAACTCGACGAAATTTAACTATTGATACAACAAGTGATGATCGAACAACAACAAATAGTTTTAGTTTAAATACATATAGTCAAGATTATTCTGTTGATAAAATATTTCAATCTGATTCATCAACATTATATAAACAACAATATAATGTCTCATCACCAAATCAACAAACATCTCAACATAGTTGGCGTAGTTCATCATCAACAGCAACAACAACTTCATCATCATGTCAAGATAAACAAATACCATTATTATTACGTACATCATCACCACAACAGTTTTTAACAGCTGTAGAAAAAAAACGAAATGCATCATCAGATTCTGATGCTATTACAACAACAACAACATTAACGAACAGTACACAATATGGAGGGTATATATTAGTTTTTAATTCTTCGAACGAAAAAATAAAAAAAATTCTTCTGCGTTTTTTTTCTTTCTCTTCTAGACGTGATATTGATAAAACTAAACAAAAACTTAGTGATTCTATATCTCAAGATGTATTACGTGCATTTAATAAATTAAATGCAACAACAATAACAGATGAACCAGAAATTGAAAAACTTGAAACAAATGAAATAAATTCAACAATAAATAAAATAATTGATATTGATACAAAATATCATTCAGTATCAGATACATTAACACGTGATAATGATACATCAGGTTATGGTTCACATGATGATCCATCATCAATTAATAATCGTATATCTTCAAAAGTAACATTTGATAGTTTTATGACACAAAATTCAGTTCCATCATCACCAAAAACAAAAGATCAATCTATAATGGCACAAATTGATATAAAAGAACGTTCAAATCAAACAACAAATAACAATAATCATGAACTAATACAAGATAGTAATGAAAATAAAAATGGACGTTTAGTTCTTATAAGTGAAGGAACAATTACAAGTGGATCAACATCAGCTAAATCAAGTGTTAAAGAACTTGTACAAAATCAAAAAGCAGCAAATCATAGAAAATCAAAATCACAAAATCGAGCTCGAAAAGCTTTAAGAACTATTACTTTTATTCTTGGTATGTTTTATGGTCATATTAGCCATATGGCATATTCTTTTTCAAAAGACTTTAGAGGAATTCTTTGCTAGCAAATCTATTGTCCTAGGAAAAAATTGATAATAGAACTCATTCGAATTGAATTGCTTCTAATAAATTTTTCGAATATATTTTCAATGAAAATGTAAATCAATAAAAAATTCATTCTATTGACTATTTTTGTTTTTAGGCGCTTTTGTCGTTTGTTGGACCCCATGGTATGTCAGTCTTCAATGTTTCTTTTATATTGTTTTTTCGATATTATTATTTTTAACCTTTAGGCATATATATTCTGCGATACATTCATTATGCGAATCATGTACACATAATTGGATATTTTCTAATCCAATGTTTCATTGTTTTTATTTTCTTTGCTATCTTAATTCACCGATTAATCCTTTTTGCTATGCATTGGCTAATCAACAATTTAAAAAGACATTTACAAGAATTTTAAAATTGGATTTACGTCGTTTATAACAATAATAAAAATGTTTTATTTCTCTCTATTATTTTTAGCTATATTAACCTTTGTTTTCTTACATGTTAAATTTTTTTTTCTGTAAACTATGCCTAACTTCTTTTTTTTTGTTCTTGTTCGTGTGAACCTCTTTGCACAGCGATGTTAACATAAATTTCTGTTTCTTTGATCGCTCAATAATAGCGAAATACAGAATGAAATCATGATGAATCAATCGAGAAAAGCTACATAAGTTTATGCATTAGTAACTGTTCTGAATTTGACGACTTGCATCTAAAAAATGTGACAGGCGGAAAAGAAAAGAATTATTTATCATGTGAAAATTTAATGAGAAGAAAACTTGTATTCATCCGTTGTAGACAGTGTTGCTTTTGCTCATTGAACTGTTTTTAATTTAATAATTTTTTTTTTCTAAAGATTATTTTACTTGATGCATTTTTAAATAGATAACGTGCTCTTCTTTGTTTGAAAGATATTATTTATTTGACAACCGTAATCTTCTAATAAGAGTTGTTAAGACCGGAAGAATATTAAAAATTTAATTCTTAATTTGTTTTTCAAATTCAATTAAGTTATAAAAATAAGAGAATGGTGTTTTCATGTGTTGAATTGAAAGATAATGATGATTTTGAAATCGTCGAACTTTTTTTTTTCTTATCATCGTACATATTCATGATGTTATTAATTATAGGTTTTTTTTTCGACAATGTATGATTATATTTAATGAATGTAAATAAATTCAATTTTGAATATAATGGATGAAAATGAAAATCAGAAGTGTTATATAATGAAATCTTATGATTGATGAATATACTTATTATATGTTCATGTTAGAATATATAATGAATATAATACGAAATCATCTGAGAATATAATTAAATGTTTTTTTTTTTTATCATAAATTCATTTTTTTATTATAAAAGAAAAAATAATAAAATGTAATTGTTTAGATTGTTTCGTTTAATTATGATAATAGAATCGATAGAAAATGACAGTTTTTGTTTTAAAGCTTTCCAATAAGATTTAATAAAAATGTATTATTAGATTAGATCGGATTTAGTTTTATTAATGGAGTCTATACATTAACGAAAAAAAAAAAAAAAGTCAGACTAGACCGAACATGAACTCGAGATTAGTCAAAGTATTAAACTTTTAATAATCGAGATTTTGTATTTGGGCGATAGTTGCTTTAGAAATGAATCTCAAGATAAAATTTGAAAGGTTGTTATGCTACATTTATTTATATTTAATATGCTTTATGTCATTTGCAGCATTCAAGAAAAATCTTAAGAAACATAAGAAAAAAGTTCAGCATTGAAATTTACTGTATTAAAAGAAAAAAGTCAAATTTCTTCTTTTCATCAATAGATTATAACTTATTTTAACTAATAGAAATCTCAACTGGAAAGATCATAATGACTAAAAATTGAAAAAAATCTATATTTAAAGTGTCCTTTTTTTTTCCTACATCTATCTTAGTCGGATTATTAAATATTAATAAATGAAATTCATCATGAAAAACACATTAGTTACTTAGGTTGATTGAAAATCATAAGACCATATACAGGTGTTTGGAAAAGAAAATGAATATAAACACATTTTTCTATAGATATTATTTTGTTAATATATGTCTCCTTTACATCGTTTTATATTATGATCATAGACTATGACGAATGTTATAAAGTGTCATAACTTAATAATTCAATTGTTTACCGTTTGAAAAAAATCAAAATCTGTTTCTCTTGGATATTGCAGAATTATTGTTAACAGAAAAATCAACATTTTCAACTGAAAATTATTGAAGTTCATCAATCTTTTATTTGATGATTTCTTTTCTCTATATTATGTTTTATAGCCTACTGTATATTCTTAAAGTGTTAACAGCCACAATATCAATTGGTTATTCTATTATTCGTGAAGCAAAATTCTTTAATAACACGACCAACACGTATCGGATTATCATTTCTTTAGAAATGTCTTTTTGTTTTGCTGAAATTTTCTTAAACTCTACTGCTCTTTTCATTATTTTAACCTTATCGAAAAACAGAAATATTTTTCAAGAATATAAATGTAATAAAGATCATGAAAATTGTGTTTTAATATTTTATAAACAACTCAATTGTATATACAATATAGTTGCATTCATGAACTTTTTCAATTGCTTGTTTGACTTTGTTATTATTCTAATAAATAATCCTTTGTTGAACACTTATTTTACCATGAAAAATTCACCTAGATTTTAAAGTGTCGTTTCAATAATATAATATTAATATATGACTGAATTTTTAAATGACTAGAAAGTTATATAATTGTACAAATATATAAATTAAAAACGCGAAAAACCCTATTTCATTATGATTATTATCTAATAAGAATAACGAAGATTTGCAACGAGTGATAGAAAAAAGATCTTCAAATAAAAAAGTTTAGAGAAGTTTTTTTTTGTTCTTGCAAAGACCTATATTTATTAATTGAATATGATATCGAAAAAAAGAAAATAAACATTCAAGAGAAAAATATCGTTCAAGTTTCAACTAAGGAATCAAGGACAAACAAAGGCTGGAGAAAAAAAATTTGCGTTCTACTTTAGGTTATTAAAAATCATGATTAATAAGTTTTATGACACTTTCGCAAATTATTTCAACATATGTTTGTCGATACATAAAGTTAATTATTTTAAATTTCACCGAAAAATAGCAAAGAGTTCAAATGATCTATTTGACTGTTTGCTAGTTGTCATGTGTCTCGATAATTTGCAGAAGTTAGATGAGGTGATAAAGTACGCAAAAAGTCAAATATAAAATTTGGCAGAAATTTTTAAAACGATAATTCAAAGTTTTCGCATACATTACGTTCAAAAATGGTGACGGTTAGCTCTGCTCTAATCGATACCTATTGTAACAACTTTTGATTAAAAAAAAAAAAAGTGAATTTTATATGATACTTCAGAAGAAAATTAAGTGTAATGAATGTTTTCATCATCTATATTTAGAATTCCCTATTTTAACAATTGCCACAATCTTAACATTGCTTGTAAGCAAACATGTTACTGGCTCATTATCACTACATCTTCGGGGTAACAATGTAAACGAAAATTAATCAGAAAACAACTATTTTGTGTAATATAATTATGTATACTAATAAAATAAACACTCGATTTATTCAATGGAGATATGATTGTTTTCTATGTTGATGTGTTGATCACAATCAATTTAGTTTTATAAATAAAGGAAATTGATTTTTCCCTATATGAAAGACAACGAACAACATGAAAGTATTTCAGACAAATATTTATGTGATCAATATACATTGCAAAAAATTTAAACAATTATTGAAATTAATCAGACAAATAATAATTTTTTTCGATTAGAAATTTGTTTTTTTTTTTTTCTTCTCATTCATTGATTCATCATACATTTCTACAAGAGATTTATACTTTCAATATAAATGAAACGTTTATAACGTTAGATTTTCTAATCATATAAATTTTGCAGTAGAAAAAATATATTTTTTTTGAAAGTAAATATATCGAATATTTTGACCATATTCTAATGTTTAGTCTTAGCCATCATCAGTCTGTTATTAAAAAACAATAAATCCATCAAACCCATATTAATGATGTGAATAATCTAAACCGATGAACCATTGTTTAACTATATTTCTTTGAAATAAAAACTTAAGTGTAGATAACTGCTATATTAAATCAAAATAAAGAAAATACACATAGCTTGAAATTTGATAAATAAATGAAAAATAATAATATAAATATTGATGTTGAATAAAATAATTTTCAATAGTTTTTCTTTTTTCATGCAGAATATCTTGACAATTTTATTTTATATTTTTTGAAATAAAAATTTTCATTATCATTTAATTGTTAATAAAAAATAATATTTAACTATATACAGGATATTCGAAAATCTTTGCAACAAAGTGTATTTTGCATATATTTCTTCAGAGATACATCATAAAACCTTGAAATTTGTAAAATTAGTTCCGTTGAATGCAATAAATTTTTGGGAATTGCTCTAATGTAGTTTTATAAAAAACTACGGAAAAGATGTACAAGCGATTATTATTTCATTCATAGAAACTTGATTTTTTGTTTGTTTTTCAAAAAACAAAGGCATATTGTGAAATTTTCTAGAATATTGAAAATAAAAGATGTTCTTGACTCATTCTAATAGATTTTGAAAGGGTTACAAAGACGATTATATAAGATTTTTGCACTTATACACGACAACAGTGAAGTAAACGCATCATAAGTTGCAATTCTATTATCAAAATCAGATTTATTGAACAAAAATCTCACTGCTTGTACAATAATACTGCTCAAATAATCATTTTTATGTTCAAAAGTCATAAGAAAGAATTAAAAATGAACGAAAGACAATGATTAGTTTTGATAAAGCAGCCAATTCAATTCAAAATTGTGAAACATGATGGCATCTCTTGTACTATTTTCTTTTGAGTCCTTTCCATATTAATTCAAATAAATGAAGAACATCTTTTGCTTTTAATATTTCACGACTTATGCTTTGTAAAACTAAAACAAAAATTATAATAGAAAATAATAATCGTTCATACATCTTTTCATTTAGTTTTATAAAAGTTTATCAGACCAATTCTCGAGAATTATTTGAATTCGATGACACAGATTTCAAAAAAAGAAAACTCAGAATTTAATCATTTATCTATACAAAAATATATGCAAAATAAATAATGTTGCACACAGTTTCGAACATCCGACAAAATCGATTATCTTATTTTCAAGGAATAAATTCATAATCAATGATCAAGAATAAAATGTACAAAATTCATTTTTTATATTTCTATATATATATATATATTCATATTTTTATAATCAAAATAATCAAAACGAAAATCTATCTCACTCACTCACTCACTCACTCTCTTTCTCATAAAATCTTTATATATGTATGCAAATGTTCACATCACTCACTGTCTAACATACAAAGCATGATATACACACACTTAA